ATGTGGTGATTTCCGAAATAGCTATCGCTTCTACCATTTTTTCAAATTGTTGTTGCTTTTCCACAATAAGTTTTTCATTAAAAACGGCCTCAAGCTCAATAAAAATTGTTGGTTTTGAGTTACGCAAACGTCAAGCTGTGAAGTTCTACTTATTTGTGCCTTGATTGGTCTTTGTATTTTGCAAAGTTTATTGTGCTAATTTTGAGTAAAAGTTGTTATAAAAAGTGCCTACGAGCATCTTAGTGTGATAATAACCGAAGCTAAGTGACAGTTTTGTGATTTTTGTGGTTTTTATTAAATTTAATTAAATTTCACTAGCTTACATCTAATCTTGCCGAGTCATTTGTTGTTATCATTGTTGTTGTTATTCCTTTGTAGTTAACTGAGATCGTTTCTATTTTTGCACATCTCTTTTTGCTCTTTTTGTTTACTTCGTTTAGTATTTCTTGTCACAGCTGTTTGCGCTGCGTTTATTAAGTGTCACATTACAGTGATACTCAAACTGTTCGCTACATATATTTTAAGCTAAATACATCAGCTCCTGAATTGTTGTGTGTGTTGTGTTAAACTTATTTTGCTTGTCTTTTTATTAACATAAGTGTTATTAAATCTTTCAATATGAAGTGTGATCTTGATAACTGCCAAATCAAAAGCGAATCTGAACGCTACTTATCGTGCTGGCTCTGTGATGGTATTTGCCATCTAAAATGTGCTGGTTTGACAGGAAGAATTCTGGACGCTATTAATGATGGCAAAGGTCTTCGCTGGTCTTGCTTAGAGTGCAGGTCAACCGAAGTTGATCTCTTTAAGTTGTTTAGGCAAACCAGAAATGGGTTTTCTGAGGTAGGGAGAGAGTTGTCGGTACTGACCGAAAAATTTAAACATTACGAAAACGTATTTAAATCTTTTAAATGCTTAGATACCGTACAATCTATGAAGGACATTCGTGTGTCAAAACGTAAGCGTCTTCATAGTCCGCCTAATGAAAGGACCGTTCCACGTCAGAACACTCTTCCGAATGACTTAATTAACCTTTCTTCTCCATGTCCTCAAAAGAACATATATCAAAGTCTGCTTCTAATAATAACGACCCTGCAGTGTCTTCCCCGTCCCCCGTTGAAGTTGTGGCACCGCCATCCAATCTTCCAACGCTTACTCTACCCTCAACTAGTAACTCAGTTACTCAACCTCGTCCGCCGGTAATCGAGTCTGATACTAGGAGACTGGTTGTGGTTCCCCCAAAGAAGTCTATATTTGTATCTAGATTTTCGAGGGATACTTCCGAGGACGATATAAAGTTTTACATCTCGTCCAAAGTTAAAACTGTCAACTTAAGTATCAGAAAATTTAATTTTAAATATGAAAGAAATATTTCTTCATTTAAAATAGACGTAAATTTAGAAAATTTTGACATGCTGCTTAGTAGTTCTTTTTGGCCCTCCGGAGCTTTCGTTCGTGAATTTGAGTATAGGCCCAACAAAAATAATAATTTAGCAAATATTCCCCGTCAGAATACAGAACCAAAAAACTGATTACTAAATCTGCTTTAAGTATTTATTATCAAAACGTAAGAGGCATAAATACTAAATTAACGAATTTATATCTTAATGGCCTTGAATGCAATTATAATATAATTTCTTTGACTGAAACTTGGCTCAAACCTAACACTTTTAATTCAGAGATTCTTTCAAATAATTATCATATCTACAGAAAAGATCGGGAGGACAGAGTCGGCGGTGGCGTACTCTTTGCCGTAGACTCTTCAATACCATCTGAAGAAGTTAGTCTTCCACACATCGAATCTGCAGAATTCAAATGCATTCGTGTTCAGGTTGGAAGGGGGTTTACTTACTTAGCTCTATGCTATATTCCTCCCCGATCTGACTTATCAGTGTATTCACAACATGTATCTTTATTGAAATCAATTAATTCAATGATTAAACCCTCTGATTCATTGATTGTGTTGGGTGACTTTAATTTACCAAATGTATCATGGAACATCATTGACAATGATATTGTACCTTTCTCGTCTAGCGCGTGCAACAACGTATTTTTAGAGGAGATGGCTGAACTCTGCCTGCCTAAGTGTGCCACTCGTTGCTCATCTATAAACTTGATCTTCTTGGTCTTCCACCTAATTTTCTACGTTGGATCTCTTCATACCTCTATGATAGATCACAAAGGATATTGTTTAAAAATACTATCTCTGACGTCATTGATGTTACTTCAGGAGTCCCTCAGGGTAGCCACCTAGGCCCGATTCTGTTCTTGCTTTTTATAAACGATATTTCTACAGATATAAAATTCTCCAAAATTTTAATGTATGCAGATGATGTAAAACTTTATAAATCGTACGTTTCAATTGAAGAAAGGTCTTTGCTACAATCAGA